GCCGGAGGTGGTGGCACAGGTGCCGTTGGAGGAGGTGGGGGCGGTACCGATGGCGGCGGAGGGATGTCTTCATCCAGGTCATCCCCCTCAAGAGCCTGTGGGCGCAGGTCCCCCACCGAGCTGTACATTCGGTAGTTCCCATTGATCTGGGAGCCAGAGCCTGCAGGGAAGAGCAAGAGCACGGCGGTGTGAGCACCTTCTCCATCAGCACTGCAACGGCCAGCATCGCCTCCGGCCAGCTACCCTCTTAGGAAGCCAGGGGTTTTTCCCAGCAGCTGTCTAAAGCTTGCTGAACTGTAACCGTAAAATTAATTCATTTTCAATTACTTCAAAAAATAATTAATAGCAGACTATTTTAGCCTGAAAATCTCATGATCAGACTGTCTGCTCCAGAGCTCGGTCCGCGCACACGCTTCCTTCCCCGAGGGCACGGTACTGCTGAGCACTCAGCACCGTCCAGGACTCAGGGAAGATCCCTTACCCAGTGCCGCTTTTTCCTCAAAGTCTTCTGGCACCGACGGCGTTGGCACAGCCACCCCGTGGGATTCTTGGGCATTCTGCAACAGTTGAGAAAATGGAGCTGTTAGTTTTACGCCCAGGGTACCAGAGCAAAGCGCCAACAAGCAGGCCCTAGCCTGTATAGCTGGTAATTTGTCTACACAAACAGGAGCCTGATGGGATCCAGGGCCGTTTCAGAGACACGGAGGTCCCTGCAGTAGCTGCTGTTGACAAGGTTTACGGGGACGAGTGATCAAGGTTGCACAAGCCATGGACACAATTTCCCTGCGCTAGTCAGGTGCAGAGGGGCTGGAGAGGAGCGCGGCTATTCCGCACCCAGGCTTAGGGCTCCCCAGCCCACATCAGCAGCACTGGTTTCTCACCATTCACATACCAAGCAAATTTAATAGCTCCCACGGGTTTTGTGGGTATTGCTCTCCAGCAAGCACTGCCAGCTCGTGCCGCAGTCACGTACACACCACGCTGAAGTCGCGGTCAGACTCTCAGCTTTTTGGGAAACTGGCACCAGCATATCTGAACACTCTGGGGAAAACTGCTACTTGTGTGGTTTGTGTTTCACTCCCAATTACTCCCTCCACATTCATCCTGAACACTCAGCAGTGCATTTAGCTGGTACGGGACCATGCAATTTAGCAGCCTACACATTTGCGAGGATGCTCACAGCGAGGGCACTCTGGATAATTACAGCCACCCACCACGAGATGCTCATGGCACACTGACTCACCCAGTGCTGACCACGGCCCCGTACACCCGCCAGAAGCAGAAAGCCTCTCCTTTCCTCCAGTGACTCACTGCTCGGATTGCTCTGCAGAGGGACTGGAGCTGCTCGTGAAACGTACGCTAACGCACCCACGTCCAAAACACAAACTGATGCTGAATCAGGCTGCCAGCACAGGCGTAAGTGACCGAGGCAGCGGACTGGCCTTTCGCATACCAGCGGTGGGAGAGACGAGGAAGTAACGCTCCACGAGCGGCAGGAGCTCGCAGGCCCCATGGGCAGCGATCAGGGACTTGCCGCCCCGTTCCCAGGCTCCAGGGTCCTCCCTGGTGCACTCCCACTCACCCCAGGCAGTGTTTGCCTTGGCTGTTAACAGCCCCTTGTGCAAAGGAAGCCTTATCCTACCCTCAGCCTGCACCGCTCGCCGCGGGTTTTCTGCATACAAAAGCCGAGATAATGATTGAGCCCGGGTCCTTTGCCTTTCACTGGCACTATCACTATTTTTACAAGAGACTGCTACAGGATTCCAAAGTCTCCTTGATGAAAGGTCAAGCTGGGTTTATACAGCCAGCCCCATCCAGGGCTCAGACAGCCCATTATCGTTACACACTGCCCCGGGTGTAGGGAGCTCAGGAACACCGGAGCTGCTGGGGCAGGACAGCAGCAGCCCGGGCTCCTACAGAAGAGCCCTAGAATTCCCCAGCTTTTGAGAAAACAACAAGAAAATGCACATGCGTTGCATGCAAAGTCCATCACCCTGCAGATGACCAAAGATCCTCTATAACCACAAGGGAATGAGCCAGTTATTGGTGAGCCAGGAGAGAGTGAGTGGGAATTCACATTCCTGGGATTGCACAACTGATCAGACCACTTGGTCTGGAGCAGCCAAGGTCTGCTAAGGCATTGGGACAGATCTGTTAGTGGCAAAACATCAGACCAGGTGAGCCCAGTAGCCTCATCTAGGACCTCTTTACTGGTCCCAAGGATACAGCACAAGGCAGAGGAAAGATCCTTAACTTCAGCTGAAAGCCAGGGCAAAGACAAGGGCTTACAGAGGCACTTCAAAAGCTGATAATGAAATTGTGTAGAGCAATGACATCCCAAAAACCACAAAGGAAAAAAAAATCCCAGCAGTTCCCATTTGCTATGGAAATTCACTGCCGCCAGTCTCCGGAGCGCACTGCAGATACCTGCTCATTTACAGGGAAACGACGAGGCCTCAGCACTGAATTAAAACCAACATCTGCATCACACGTTTGAGTAGGAGTAGAAAGGGAACGGCAGTCGGAAGAGATCTATGCAAAGCTGGAGGAAACAGTCCACATTTCATAAACGAGGAGTAATTTTGGACATGTCATTTCAACAGGTCCCAAGAACTGGGCAAGCCTGTTTCACACCAAAAATTTCTGTGGCAGTTGCTAACGTTCAGCATGTCTCAAAAACCGCCCATCCTCACGTCATGAGCTGGCTTCTAAAATGGAAAGCATCTCCACTACGCCTTGCCAGTCTCCAGAGATGACTAGAAAGATTGTTCCCCTCTGCTGTGTTTGCTAGGGGTGTGCCCAGCCCAGCAAACCTCCAGCTGATTCAGAGCAGGCGGCTGCGCTCGGGGCTGAGCGCCAGGAACCTGCATTTCCAGTTTGTGGTACCTGCATCACATTTGTGTGCGCTGAGGATCCCGTTGCTGGGGGGGGGGGGGGGGAGCTTTCACTGGAGCCACCAGGAATTGCTTTTCAGTGCTGGAACAGAGTGAGATACCCCCTGCCCGCCCCGTGAAGGGGAGCCTGCCTGTCCTCATGGTCCCCAGCTCCCCTGGTCCCTCGGGAGCCCACGCTTCCCACCTATGAATGAACTAGGTTTGAGGCTGCCTGTTACAAAAACTGCACCAAAACTCAACTACTTAAGGCTCTGGGGTCTCAGAGAGGCCAAGGACTTCTCCAAATATCAAGAGCTACCCCCAAACTCCTTGCTGAAGCAGAGCCAGGGAAGCTTGGTGTCAACTGAAGGAATTTATCCCCCCAGGATGCCAAAGCTCTGCCTGCACCCGCAGTGCCTGGGACAGCGGGTGGGCAGGGGGCCGTGGTGGTACCCGAGAGGCAGGCAGAGAAGGCCCCTCTCCTGCAAGCCCTGGGGGGACTCGGCTCAGCTTGTTGGGGGGAAGGAAGCTGCTCGGTGGGGGCAGAGCTGCCGGGCAGGGTGCGTGTGTCCTCCCCACTCCCGGCTACCCGGGCAGCTGCTGCTCAGCCTCCCCCACGCAGGGGAGCGGGTGGGTGGAAAGAAAGGGTTAAGGCAGGACCTGCAGAACAGCCCAGTGCAAGTATCTATGTGGCGGCAGAAGCATTTGTGCCAAATCAAATCGCAGTCACACCTAATCAAAATAATGCAAAGATCCAACACGGACTGGCGCTCACAAAGCATTGCTTATTCCTACCGATTCCTTCAGTTGAACTTGTTGCTCCTGAAAGAGAAGCACAGCGAGAGGGACCCTCGCAAGGGCAATTGAGGGGAAAAAAGCCCCAGGGCCAGCCGTGCCTCTGCAGGCAGCAGGAAAGCACCATGGCTAGCGTGACAGCCTGCAGTATTTATCCCAGGGACATTTGTGCTGTTTATTCCTCGACCCCACACACTTCCACTAGTAAAGCACTAAAGAAGATGCAAAAGTTGCCAGCTGCACTCTAAAAACCCGTGACATGGGGTGCCAGCTATGGTCACACCCCCACGCCTGCGCTACTGCAAAGGAGTTTCTCGGGCGCCAGGGCTACGGTTACTCGACTCAGAGCCCAGGCGAGATTTTTCACCTGCTGTGATCTTTCAGAAGGCATCACAGAGGGCACAACCCTTTTGTAGGACCTGTGTAACCCCATAACTTCCTAATGATGCTCTCAGATATACAAACTCCCTCTACCCCCAGTTGTCCTCCAAGTGACACCTGAACAGCCCCATTAACTCCTAATTGCACCCAGGTGACAGCAGAGCAGCCCATTTTCTGCTGTAGGTGGTGGCTGCGCTAAAGGGACACGGATATAGGAGGAAAGACATCCCTTGCCTCAGAGAGGATTTCTTTCTCTAGACCAAACGCTTTTAAGTGTTTTACTGTCTTCACTGACCTTCAGTGACCTGCGCATATCACTTCAGATTTAGCTACTGCCATCTCCAAAACATCTCTGAGCAGTCCCGTGCCTCGATGCACTCTCCAGGGGATAAGATCTCCGGAAAGGTGTGCTACACGGGGGAGGAATTGCTCAGCACACACGGCAGCGGAGTGTTGAAGCCAGCAACGAGCACGTGCGGCTTCTGGAGTCCCAGCTGGGTTAAAGCCACCCCTGGGTGCAGCTGTGTTGGCACTTGCTGCTTCAGTCCCTGCAGCCCGCTGCTGCTGGGGGCCTGAAGGAAAGTGTTCCCCCCATACAGGGCCTGAAAACCCAGCCTCTGCACAGACACCCGCTGCATCGCCTCCTCGCTCCCCTGCTCCACACAGGACAGTTTTGCTGCGGCGCTTTCCAGCAACACGCCTGATCCAGAGGGAGACACTGCCAGCAGCGCTTAGATAAAGCGCTGTGCAAGCCACATCCCTCATCTACATGCTCAGCAACTTCTGTTTTGATTGAAAACACAAGTTGGATGATGCTTATGTCTCTCGCCTGAGCATCCTGCCTATGTCCAACACAAGTCTTGAACTCAGATCACCTCCTAATCCCTCGTATCCAGCATTATTATAGAGTGGTTTTGCTTTTCATTTATTTTCTTCCCTCGGGTAGAGTACGAGAGCAGCAGCCAGCCCAGCTGGTTCTGGGCGCCAGTTACACACGCTGCTGTAACGAACCTCAGCGACGAGCCGAATACTCACAAGGGGTAAGAAAGTCAGCAGCGGCCGGACTCTCGGACGAGGTTTAAGCGTTGCTGTGCCAGAGTCGGTCATTGTCCCAAAGCGATTGTCACCATAATACACCTCAATCACGTCACCTGAGGGGAAGAGAAAGACTGTTAGCAGCAGCACTGCGTTTGAGGCCACAGGAAAAACAACGCTGGACACCACGTAATTTCAAAAAGCACCGTGAGGAATTTGCAGTACCAGCTCCCAGGAACAGGCAAAACCCATCAGGTTCTGATGAGTATCTGGGTGTTTTGGAGCGGAGTTAAAGATGGGGGGAGAAAGGCCCCAGGGGAGTAGGACCCCTGGGCAGGCACTGGCAACCCCGGCACACCTGCAAGGCACAGAGAGCCTTCCCAGGGCTCCAGACACTGAGTTTCATGAGCACAGATGTCGAAGTCTGTTCTGAAGGGTTGTTTCAAGCAGTAGCTACCTGTTAACCTGTCAGCGGCCAGAATTGAGGGGGGGAAGCAGCAGCAGAGCCTGACCACCAACCACACCAACTGGAGAGCGCAAGCCCCTGCCCTTCCTCGCCTGCTGACCGCTCTGTGGGCAGAGCTGCCGCCTCAAAGCGCAGAGTTAGTTCCTGGTTCTTCACTCAGCCCTGTCGCGACAGCAGGTCCCTGTCACTTCTGCAGCAGAGGGACAGCAGAGGCGTCCCTGAGCCCCGGCTGCCCCCCGGCTTGTGCCGAACGGGACCAGGACCGGGATGGCAGAGGGAACACTTCGCTGCACTGCTCGGACGCAGCGATGGAAACAGGACACGCTGGGGCTTCCCGAGGAGGTTTTCCCCCTCCTTGTGTCGCTGCCATCAGCTGAGGGCAGCGGGAGGGAAGTGCCACAGCTGCTGTCCCTGCCGTGGACAGACACCACCAGGGCCCAGAGCCTCCTTCTGCGGGCTGCCGGGACAGTTTGTTTCTGACCGCTGATGCAATGGGCACTGGGGGACAAATCGTGCTGCCACAGTGCTGTCACAGCCCAGCCTGCCTTACGGAGGAGTGCTCCGAGCGCCTTCCCATGAAATACTGCTATGAATGGAGACGCTGCGGCGGAAAGCGGTTGCCGAGCCCCAGCGCTACAAGCAGGAGAAGCCATCAGGTACTCCTGGTTCCCAGCGCTGTGCTTTTACCTTGAACCACACCTTTTGTGCCAGCTTATTTCTGACAGTAATAAAGCTCAGACAACTAGTTTAATTACGTTCTTCGTGTCTGATTAACAGCATGAATTAACAAGCAGAAGCACTGAAGCATGTAAACCCCACCTTGGCTAGAAGGAGACACACAAATAATTCGTAGCCAAGGAGACCAAGATTAAAGAAAATATGAGAGTTTGAGGAAGGAGGGGGAAAGTGAGCAAAATGGCTGGGATCAGAGAGAAAATTCTGCAGGAGTGTTCCCACCCAACAGATTTCAATAGTGGTCTCAGTGAGAAGGAAGAAGCCACCAACCTCCCCCTCAGCCCTAAAACACCATCACCATGAAGTAAATAGCTTTTTTTTTTTTTTTTTTTTTTTTTCCCCTCTAAAAAGTTTGGTCCTCAAAAGAGTTTGGCCCTCAAACGTGACCCCACGCGAAACTGTGAAGCACAGGAACAGTTTCTATCAAGTATCACACAGCGGTCAAAAGCCAAGAAGCAGAAAGGTGGAGGTTGTGTAAGCTCCGCACACCGGCGAAGGGGCTGGGCTGCATTTCTAAGCCTCGAAACGCGAGGGCAGCGCTTGCCGAAGCGGGACTGCCCGCTCGAGGAGCCGGCTGCACCCCAGAGTCCCTGACTGAGACTGTGCAAGCAACCGGCCGCTGCCACGGCCCCAGCCAGCATCCCCGCTCCCGCACAGCCCCTCGCTGGCCCAGGGCGCAGCCCGTGCCCTCCATACGCTGCCAGACCCGGTGACTGGGGTCCCCAACCCATCATGGACTGCCATGGCATAGAGCTGTGGTTGTCACTAAGTCTCTGCCCTCCTCGGACAGGCAGAGATCAGGCAAGAAGCTCCCAAGGAAACAGAGCTTTGCACCGAATTTAGGGGGAAAAAAAGAGAGGCGGGCAAATGCTTGCATGTGCGTATTCCCACGGAAGAAAGCGCTTGCATGAACACCTGGAATGAAGAACCTGACCACGCCAGGGGCTGGGTGTGAGCTACCGCAGCCTCTGCTGAAGTTATGGGTTTGGAGGCAGATGAATTCCACACAACCCTGAAACATGCCACTGAGTCCAGCAAGCACGCAAGCTTTTCCTTTCTCCCACCCACTACACCACAAGTTACCCTGGGATAAACCCAGGAGTATCCATCATCCTATCACTGTCCTCACGGTCAGTCACAACTTCCTCTCCCTTATCCCAAACTTCTCCCACTACAAGGGATTCTTTACGAAAAGGACGTTTTCTTCAGGTTTCAAAACCCTAATCAGCCTGCACTTCAGTTAGCGTGGTCCTACCAAGGGTGCAACACTTCCCTGCCTGTGAGGGTCCCAAGCGCAAAGGAGGAGCTGCTGGAGTCCCCAGGAGAGCAGAGATGCCAGCACATTATTGGTGTCTTTGCATAACGCCCTGGGTGACCCCACTTTTGGCAAGTAAGCAGCAAGAATTAAGGCCAAGGCAACATGAGAGTTTGGATTCTGACAGCCTTGTGGCGCAGCGCTAGAGTAGCTCAGAGACTTGAAATGATGAGAGTTTTATATTAAACAAGACGGTAGGTAAACTCAGTGAGAAACTGGATTAAAGATCACAAGGTCTTTGATCCTAGATTACTAAGCATCGCCAACCTGAATGCATTTAATTAAAGCAAAATGAAATGCTTGTAGTTGTGTTTTCTTTGCTAGATAAACAGGACTTGCCTGCTAAGAGCCTGTCACCAGTAAGACCTGTGCTCCACCAGCTTCGTTTCCTGGAAGGAGGTATCAGGAAACGCCTTTGGAGGCTGTCGGAAGCGGCTGGCCCTGACTATGCTTTGGCCACTTTTTCACGCTCAGCCCGTCCCAGAGACGCGCGTGTCCTCTCAGCCATGGGAAATGAAACAAGCAACCCCCAACACACGTAATGGGACTTCTTCCTACCTCGGGCTTGCCACACCTGGAGTAGGTGTAGCTGGTTTGACGCTGGGGTATCCACTGCTCACAGAGAGGAGGCGGCACCAGTCACTATATTCAGGAATCTCTGAGTCAGTGACATGCAAACCTACACCCATTCCACATTGCTTAACTTGTGTTTACTTTGTATGACAAACTGAGGTGGGGATTCGCAGAAGCAGCGGACCCTGCTGGCAGCAGCGACGGCACGAAGCTGCGCAGCAAATAGTCAGGAACCAGGGCCAGGGATGGGGCTCCACTGGGTAAGACCATGGAAATCAAGGTACAATAAATTCTGCCCGTTGTACTGCTTAGCTGCGAGCCTCGCGATGAGCCCACACCTCAGCACACGTTACTCTGACCATGGTCACTCATCTGTGCGTCACACTACCCTACACAAATCAAATTAACGATGTAAATCCCAAGAGAATGCTGAGGAGTGATTCAACAGCTTTTATTTACGCTCAGGTTTCAAGGACTCCCGGCTTTTACTTTGCAAGCTGATCCACACAGCAGTTCCCCACACCTGAAAGGAATACCTTTGTACTGCAATTGCAGCCACGGAAGTCAGGCTTGTAATAAGCAGACACAGGGAGGATTTTTTTTTTAAACCCAAACCACATCAGAGAGAAGCTTGAATCCTCCTCGGGTTTACGACAGTTAGAAATCAGCACTTTTCCTTTTGTGTTGGAGAGTTGCACGAAACTCTCCGCCACATTTTCAATTTATCTTGGTTTCACCAGCTTGGCCTGCAGGGTGTAACCACCTCGCAATAGCTTTCACGGACACTGCTTCACACCGCACAGCTCAGCGAGCAGCGCTTCCACTTTTAAGCTTGGAAGTGTTTATCGGAGTCTTAGAGCCATCAAACTTCATCCACAAACTGCTATCTTTTATCTACCTGGCTCCACTGCTATTAACTTGGCTCCCTCCTACATGAGCCTCCAGGGCACAGTATTGCAATTAAAACCACAAAGAAATACAAATAAATTCCGAGGAATATGCAGCCCTCAGCTCCCCCCGTGCGCGCAGACCTTCAAGAAACAGGTCGACAAGCAAATACCTAAAACCTGGGAAGGCGCCGATCGAACATGGCGTGGGAAAGCGCCGCTGGAAAGCAATAAAACAGCTCCGGAGCCACCCGGCAGCGACCCGCTCCGAAACAGCGGGTGCGGAGCCCCCGCACCTCCACCTGCGGGCCCGCAGCGGCGC